CTTTCCTTTTCCTTCCTTCCTCTCTCCCTCCCTCCCTTCTTCCTTCTATTTCCTCCTTCCCTCTTTCTTTTCTTTCCTTCTTTCTCTCCTTCCCTCCTTAGCGCCTCTCTCTCTCCCTCCCCCCCTTCCTCTCTCTGCCCCCCTCTCTCTCTCTTGAGGCTATCCTGTTTTTCCCAAATACACTTACTTTTTCTTCCTCTCGTTTCTTTGCTCTTTAAAATCTTCCAGCTTCTCCTTCACAGTAGCTAGTCCAAATTAACATTATTCCCTCTCCTCTCCCTTGCCTTCTCTCCTTCCTCCGACAACCTAACAAGCTCTGCTTTGATTAACCTTAACCAGTAGTTTTAACTAGATGCTAACTCTTCCTTTAGATAATGTGTTTTAACCTTTTCCTTAATTAGTGACTAAATCTAACTAGATCCTTAACCAACTTTAACCACCTAACCCCACCCCGCTTCCCACTCTACGGATGTGAACTCATAAGAAAGAATAACCGAATCGTTTTATCCCTGATCCTGAAAATGGTGCATTTGGGGTAACATGGAAGGAAGGAGAAAGAAAAGAAAAAGAAAAACTGAAGGAGGAAATGAAAAAGCAAAAAAAAAAAAAATTGAATTGTTGCCGTCTTTGCAGGAGGACAAAAGGCTGGAGGGGAAAAAAAAATGGTATCCTCGCTTCTCCTGTATATATTATTCATAAGTACCACTGGGGACATTTAAAAAATATTTGCACAGGCCACCAAGAATTTAGACAGTCTCTGCGATGCCCAGGGAACCTGGATCCAGAAAAATATCCATGAAATCCTTTGCTTCGTTTTCAGGATTGGAGGGAGAGAAAAAAAACAAAAACTTTTTGAGAATTTTACAAAATATACTTCTTGACTGAGAAATAAACCTTGGAAAGCCAGTGGGAGAAAGGACAAGGGTGAGGTTTCCCCGGGCTAACAAATTTATTTTCCCACAGAGTGGAAGGCTGAACCAGGTATAATTGCACTCTGAGCCACTCTAGGAAAATAAAATAAAAAATAAAGCATCTGGTCATGTGCAGAGGGTGTCCCTTCGCCAAGAAACTGCCTGACAGCATTTTTCAAGCTAGACAAGGCTACAGAATCTCCGCTTTTTAAAATAAGTCAGATTCTCCCCCCCACCCTCCGGCCCCCCAGTGTGGTTCTTCTAGTAACACCAAGGACCAAACCGCCTTCTGGATTCTGCTAATTGCCAAGTTTTTTTCTGCCGGTTTCCTGGGTAACCCCCCCCCAAAAAATAATAATAATAATAATAATAATAATAATAATAATAATATGGAAATTACGTTCTCCTTTTGCTTTGTTTTCAGGATTGGGGTAAAAGAAAAAAAAAAACTTTTTGAGCCATGGTGGCGCAGTCTGTAGAAGGCAATATGCAGGGCTACTTCTGCTGACTGCCGGCTGACTGCCATTTGGCAGTTCGAATCTCACCAGGCTCAAAGGTTGACTCGGCCTTCCGTCCTTTCTGAGGTGGTTAAAATGAGGACCCAGATTGTTGGGGGCATGAGGCTGGCTCTCTGAACCGCTTAGAGAGGGCTGGAAAGCACCGTGAAACGGTATATAAGTCTAAGTGCTATTGGAAAGGAGGGAGGGAGAAAGAGAGAGAGAGGGAAGGAAGGAAGGAAGGAAGGAAGGAAGGAAGGAAGGAAGGAAGGA